TTTTAATGTTACCCTGGACCAAGATGTGCTTGAGAATCTGATTGTCTGCTGTCCTCTCCTTGAGAGATTAACATTGTGGCACTGTGATGCATTAACCCGGTTCAAGATTGATGCACCGAATCTCAAATTCCTTCATTTTAAAGGCATGCTTGAGGATGTTAGTCTTGTGAAGACCTAGGAAAAGACCTAGGAAAACTTTGGAAGAGACTCTAAGAAAAGACTTAGAGTACTTGGATCTAACGAAGGACATGACACAGGACCGAGCACAATGGCGTTCTAAGATTCATATAGCCGATCCTACTCAGTGACTTGGATTTTCCAAGTCTCCAACCGAGAAGTTTTCCTCACTCGGAAAATTAAGGGAACACTACCCCAACCTACATGCTCCACTCAGAAAGCTTCAACATACAAGCTTCAACAAAAGAAAATTCAAAGAACTTAGCGAAGAAGGCTTTGGTGTATTTAACACAATACGTTGAAATGAAGGAAAACTTATTTATTGATATCCCCGATAAGCTACAAATATGTACATATACATGAGTCAAAATAAACAAACAAGATGGAGCCTTCACAAAGGTTGCTTAGGAGAAGTCTCAGCAGTCGGTAGAGCCCCAGAAAGAGAAGACATCGAAGGGGGATCATTCGGAGCCTCAGTAATGGACAAAACCCTAGAAGGAGGAGGCATCAGAGGTTGATCATTTGGAGCTTCATTACGCGGTACAGCCCCAGAAGACGAAGGCAATAAATGCCTTTGGAACAAACCCACAAATCTCTGATGATCAAGTAAAACCTGACCATCAGTTTCCTTCATCTGGTCAAGCTTCCTCTTCATGTTTGTAGCATAGTCATGTGCGAGCCGGTGCAACTGTTTATTCTCATGCTTGAGCCCTCTAATCTCCTGTTTGAGACTCATCACTTCGGCCGCCAATGATTCAACTTGGCGGGTTCGAGCAAATAGGCGTTGGGCCATATTAGACACAGAACCTGCACACTGAACACTGAGAGCCAGCGAATCCTTAACAGCTAACTCATCAGACCGTTTGGAAAGTAGCCTGTTATCTTTGGGAGTGAGAAGGTTCCTGGCCACCACCGCAGCGGTCATATCATTCTTCATCACAGAATCCCCAACGGTAAGAGGACCAGTAGGGGAGACGAAGGATGGGCGCCATATGTTGTCTGGAGAAGGTGGGGCTGCCTCTTCAACAAGGTTCAAGTCAAAACGACGGTCGGAGGGGCCAGACATTTTCAAAGGTGTTGAAGAGAGAAGAAGTCGGACAAATCAAGATCTTAGAAGTGCAAGAATGGAGCTTCTACTGGTGGAGATTCAAGTGTGCTTTGGAACTTAATGCCAGCCCCTATAAAAAGCTGCACTCGACGGAGCTTCAGACATCGAAGAGGCGTCTGCTCAGAAATCGAAAAGGCGTTTGCTTTCTCAAAAGCTGGGCTGCTTAGAGACCACGAGGGTGATCTCATAAATCGAAGAGGTGTTTGCTTTCTCAAAAGTTGGGCTGCTCAAAGACCATGAAAGCCGATCTCAGAAATCGAAGAGGCGCTCGCTTTCTCAAAAGCTGGGCTCCTCAGAGACCACGAGGGCCGATCTCAGAAATCGAAGAGGCACCTACTTTTCCAGCCTTGTCAGCACCTGTCACACGCACACTCAGCTTTGCGGAAATTATGGGTATTCTGTCGAAGACTTCTGGGGAAATAGAAAACACATGAATCTTACTGTCCAATCACCCACTTCCCACACGCAACAATAGCTCATGGGTACCACAGATAACTTTGCCAAAGTTGAGCACGTGAAGCTTGCAGCTCCACTACATCGCTCTGACCAAGAAGGGTAAAAGAATATCAAAGAAACAGCACTAACAAAGTTTAGACCCATAAATTTTGAAGGTCTAGCTACCATATTATTACCCACAAGGGTAAATGAACAGTACCACTGCTAGATAATTGGAAAGTCCCTGTGTGTCAACCTCTGTGCCTTGTGGCAAGGTAGACTAGCAAACATGCCCAACCTTTACTCACATTTCGAGAAAACACTCCCAATAAGATTGCTTGCTCCAAAATCGAAGAGGCACCGTCCTCCGAATCTCGAGAGCTAGACTCCCAACATGACTACTTTCTCAAAAATCGAAGAGAGGGTAAATGAACAGTACCATTGCTGGATAATTGGAAAGTCCCTGTGTGTCAACCTCTGTGCTTCGTGGCAAGGTAGACTAGCAAACATGCCCAACCTTTACTCACATTCGAGAAAACACTTCCAACAAGATTGCTTGCTCCAAAATCGAAAAGGCACCGCCCTCCGAATCTCGAGAGCCAGACTCCCAACATGATTACTTTCTCAAAAATCGAAGAGACACTGCTCCCCGAATCTCGAGAGCCAGACCCCCAGCATGATTGCTTTCTCAAAAATCGAAGAGGCATCGTTCTCCGAATCAATCGAAGAGGCGCTCGCTTTCTCAAAAGCTGGGCTGCTCAGAGATCACGAGGGCCGATCTCAGAAATCGAAGAGGCACCTACTTTTCTAGCCTTGTCAGCACCTGTCACACGCACACTCAGCTTTGCGGAAATTATGGGCATTCTGTCGAAGACTTCTGGTGAAGTCGAAAGCACATGAATCTTACTGTTCAATCACCCACTTCCCACACGCAACAATAGCTCATGGGTACCACAGATAACTTTGCCAAAGTCTGCCAAAGTTGAGCACGTGAAGCTTGCAGCTCCCACCACATCGCTCTGACCAAGAAAGGTAAAAAGAATAGCAAAGAAACAGCACTAACAAAGTTTAGACACATAAAATTTTGAAGGTCTAGCTACCATATTATTACCCACAAGGGTAAAGGAACAGTACCACTGCTGGATAATTGGAAAGTCCCTGTGTGTCAACCTCCGTGCTTCGTGGCAAGGTAGACTAGCAAACATGCCCAACCTTTACTCACATCCGAGAGAAAACACTCCCAACAAGATTGCTTACTCCAAAATCGAAGAGGCACCGCCCTCCGAATCTCGAGAGCCAGACTCTCAACATGATTACTTTCTCAAAAATCGAAGAGACACTGCTCCCCGAATCTCGAGAGCCAGACCCCGAGCATGATTGCTTTCTCAAAAATCGAAGAAGCATCGTTCTCCGAATCTCGAGAGCCAGATACCACATGCCACTTTTTCAAAGTGCTCTGACAGAGTTAAAACATGTGAAGCTGGCAGCTCCCACTACCGTGCTATGACCAAGCAGGGTAAAGGAATAGCATTACTACTTGTTGTTAGGGAGACTCCTATATATATGTCGACCTCCATCCCCAACGGACAGGCAGACCTGCAAAAATGCTTAACCCTTCCTCATATCTGAGAGGGCACTCCCAACGAAGCCTTTCGAAATATTCAGCTTTCTTTCCCCCCGATAATACCTCTGCAAACAAGCTATACTAGAGCAAGAATATCTCATATCATCAGGGTTAAAAGCAAGAGTATCCCATATCATGCTTTTTCCCTGTCTTTTCCTTTGGCCTTGTTTTTACCTGCAAGACAAGGAGAAAGAGAGCAATCAGTCAGCACTTGAAATCAAGCTCCCAACCAGGAACTGACTGCCTGGAACCCCTTACCTGATTACTTACCTGGCATTGCTCTCGAGTACTCATCTTCAACATCTTATGTTTCCAGGGAAGATACCGCATCTGCTTGAGGAACAGATAGGGCAAGTGCGAAGGATACAAGGAAGCATGTGGAGACAAGCGTAACAGCACACGTGCCTATACATCCATTACTCTGTCAAAAGCAAAAGTATCTCATATCAGCAGGGTCGAACGTACTCTAGATTTGATGGACTTGTTTTGACCCTCAAATTCTTCAGTCGGCCTTATACTCTGGAGGAAATCAGAAAACCCTCCAGCTCAGTTCAAGAATAAGCCTGTGGAAAGCTACTTCTTCAAAGCAAAAGTATCCCATATCATCTCTTCTCATTTTTCTTCTCTTTATCCTTCATGCTGCTGCAAGATGGGGAGAAGGTGAACAATCAGCCGGAGCTCTGATTGCTTACCTTGTCTGTCACCTCTTTCAGCAGATCCCCTAGCTCGGCGACTTGGGGGACTCCTACTACATGGTTTGTATCGCGCTTGACCAAGCCTGAAACTACAAGTAAGCTTCAAGTGAAATTGATACATTACCTTGTGCATCTCCACCAGTTAAAGATACCACCCCTGGATGGAGGAAGAGTACTTCCAGAGAAGCTGCCACATCTACCTATGAGACAGATAAGGCAAGTCAAGATGATACCACACTCCGATACTTAGAAGTTTCGTGATTACGAGATCATTCTCCCACAATATTTCCTAATGTCATCTGTACTCTAATGTCATTTGTACTAAATCATTCACTTGTACTCACTAAAGGAGAGCTTAAACCTATGTAATTGTGTAAACCCTTCACAATTAATGAGAACTCTTCTATTCCGTGGACGTAGCCAATCTGGGTGAACCACGTACATCTTGTGTTTGCTTTCCTATCTCTATCCATTTATATACTTATCCACACTAATGACCGGAGCAATCTAGCGAAGATCACAAAAAGCGACCGTTTTCGCTACCTAGGATCTATCTTGCAAGAGAACGGAGAATTAGATGGAGATCTCAACCATAGAATACGAACTGGATGATGAAGTGTAAGAGTGCATCCGGCGTGTTGTGTGACCGTAAACATCAACACGTACACAAAATGGGTGTAGTGGAGATGAGGATGCTTCGTGGGATGTGTGGGCACACGAGAAAGGATAAGATTGAGAATGAGGATATCCGAGGTAAAGTAGGAGTAGCCGAAATTGAAGGAAAGATGAGAGAAAATCGGTTCCGGTGATTTGGACATGTGCAAAGAAGGCCGACTGACGCTCCGGTTCGAAGATGTGACTACGGGACAGAGGTTCAGGGCCGAAGGGGTAGAGGAAGACCTAGGAAAACTTTGGAAGACACTCTAAGAAAAGGCTTAGAGTACTTGGACCTAACGGAGGACATGACACAAAACCGAGCGCAATGGCGTTCTAGGATTCATATAGCCGACCCCACTTAGTGGGAAAAGGCTTTGTTGTTGTTGTTGTTGTTGTTGTATCTGCCTCACATTCGATGTCTTCATGTCACAAATTACTTTTCGAAGGTAATGGATTTTGTGGTTTCATACTTTTCGAAGGTAATGGATTTTGTATCTGCCGACATTCACCTCTCCCAGACCCTGCGTAAAGCGGGAGCCTTGTGCACTGGGTACGACCTTTATACTATCAGTCAATAATCAGATTTTGTGGCCATCAGAATTTGACTGTAATTTCATTATCCTGTTTTCTGAACCTTTCTGTTCCAGTATTTGGCCGTCGGAGTCTTGCCAGGAAATCTACCTCAACCGTGTCTATATCTCAATTTTTTTTCTATACATTTAAGCTTCAACGATCTGAAAGAGATTTTAACTGTTTTATGTCTTCTGAGAAGCTTCCCTGCTCTACAGGAACTTGAAATTTGGGTGAGTTTATTGTATTATGTTGATGCATGCATATCCCGGTGTTCAATTAAGAATGTCAACCCAACTCTCTACGCTAATTGTATTTTACTGTTTAGAGAGCTGTTTTATGTGATGTTCAAGCATCTGATGATATAGACTTGTGCAGGCCCAGAATGAGTACAAGGCTGTTGTGGGAGAAGTAAACTATGGGTCGGATGACAACCAGAATTGCCAATTGACCAAACTGCGAATTGTCAAAATAACCGGCATCTTTGGTGTCAAAGCTGAACTAGATTTCATCAGGTTTTTGCTTTCAAGTTCACCTGTGCTTGAGAAGATGACTGTGAAGCCTGCTGCTGCTAATAATTTTGAAGTAAAAATGTTGCTCCAAAAGTTGCTCCAGTTTAAGCGTGTCTCGGCGAATGCAGAGATATTCTACTTAGACCCTTGATTCATCAATGAAACATGTTTGGCAGATACGATACGAGGACTTGCCGGCAGAAACTGAATGCGGGTTTTGATAGTTTGGTACAATTATCTGCTATGTATGTGTCTTATGTTTTGTCAAACGACGCCAATAGATATCTCTTTTATTCTTTTCCTAATCTCATGTTCAACTTGGACTATGATATTAAATTTTGACCCTAAGATGTATGATGAAATGTCTCGAGTACAAGAGAAGACTAATTTGGAAGTACTTTTGGAATGAATTAAAAGCGCTTACAGATGGCAAGAAGTGTTTTTGGCAACATTTTGTTAAAAAAGGTTGAAAGTTATTAATGGAGAAGGGCCGCATACGGTGGTTGTACGCAAGAACCTCTCCTGGAGTTGCTAAATGAACAATTCGCGGTTGTACAACGGGACTAAACTGATCTCATTTCTAACATATGGAGTTTTACATATTACAAGTCATCAAAATTTATCGCTCAGTTGCTAGACCAATAAATTTCTTTAGAATTTGTTGTTGAATTAACTTCCGTAAGGTAGTCCAAGTCTTCCAAGGCTTTGTCAAGGGACTCCGCCATATCTGCCTCCCATAAGCCTAACCTGCAGACTTTCTTGTAAGTTTCGTAACTTGATGCCCTTATGCCCTCCGAAGCGATCTCCATTAAAGAGTCACAAATCTCTTCACTGCTCATGGCATCCAAAAAAGTTTCAGATAAACCACGTCGCCAGAAAACAACAATGGCACAGCTCTTGTCCAATAACCGAACATCAAATTCTTCAGAGAAGACAGCATGTAACTTGCACAACAAGCTCTTGATCATCCCCAACATCGCATTGTTAGATACCATAGCGTTGTCGGAAATTTTCAGAATGGAGCAGAGCTTTGCAAACAAATAGCACATCTTCACCACATTATGCCTTTGAATGTTGCCTTCACTTTCTGTAGATGACAACCCAAACATTGTATATAGTAAGAGAAGAAGTTAGGTTTGCTCTGAAGTAAAAAAATGGCATAACGGACAGCAATCGACACAAAAAATCACAGGAAAACCAAGTAAAACCCACAAGAGCAACAAATATGTGAATTACTGCACTCTCTTCAACTGTGCTACGCGAAAACTAAGGGTAATATCGATACCTTGAGGCAAAATTTCCATATCAATGGCTGCGAAGTAATGATTATTCAAGTACGAAATAGCTGCAGGAATATTGGTCATCCTTCTTAGAGGGCCAATATTCTTCATCAGATGGTTGACATCAAGTATGTGGGGAAAAACCGAGTGCAAGGAACCCATGAACTCGTCTACATTAGTCGGGAGGGGAGAGAGAAACTCTGAATGAATAACTGAAATCTGCATAACGCAAAATTAAACAGTAAGTTGAGAAACTAGAAAAAGAACAGAAGCCAAGTCAAGGGCATTAAAACTCATAGATGTTTATTAAACAGAGATACACCGTTAAGGGAATTGTGGGAGACAACAGGTTTCTGTGAAGCAGAAATCAAATCGATCACCTCTTGAAATCCACGAACTCTCTTGTTTTGTTCCTCCTCAAGGTTTTGGAGCTCTCTCTGTAAGTAAAACATTCAAGCCAAATGTTGTGTTACAAAAAGCCCGATAATGCAAAATAGAAAGACTTGAAAATCACGTCACTACCTCAAACCAGTCCTTGTCTGCTGTAGAACTTGTCAAAACAGCACGAACAGCCTGAGTTCCTCCTCCCTTTGCTGGGATTATTAAAGGAACAAGTTCATCAGAGAACTCTTTCAACATCTGCAACCAATGAAAAAAAAATCATTTGATCAGATAAAATCTGATTAAATATACCGGCACCAGAAAAAAGGATTAAAAACAACAACGGGTCAACATACATACCTCCAGAGCAAGCTGCACTTGACGTTCACTTCAAACATCTAGATTCATGCCGGGTCTGTTCCGTAAATTTCACTTCCCATTACAATTTTTCTCAAGGAACTCAGCAGAGCATCTGCAAAATGGAAAGCCAAAACACTTTTTAACAGAAAATATAACAAAATCGAATGAAAGATAGGGGATGTAAGTAGAATCTAGAACCCTTTTTCTGTCTTTACCATCTTTCTTTGTGTTTTTACATGCACTTTTCCAATGATTAACTCGCAATTTAATTCTTTCAACAAAAACCGTATCAGCAACAGTATGAGTCGAAGAAGAGTTCATTACATAGCTACTGGTAGTCGGATTCCCTATCCGAGCTTTAGCCGCAGATTCTTGTGCTCCAGACAAGTATGAAATACCCGTCTCATTACAAAACACAAAATCTCAATACAACAGCAAAGTTACAGACTTGTAATGTCCCAAATGGTACACTTTCACCAATGCATCGAGCCAAAGTTTTTAGTTTTCGTAATTTCTGTTCTAGTTTTCGAAAAAATATTCACTTGGGTAAAATCATATTCCACAAGAAATTAGGGAGTAAAATGAAATATCAAAACTTGACAGGGGAGGCTTACCATTATATATGCAGGCATTGAAATCAAAACCTTCTTCCGCCATGGAAGTCAAATGTGATGTTTGAACTGATCAACAAACCCATCATCAATTCATCCCTTGGGAACAAGACAAAGTTGTATCTGCACCAAAATCAACAAACCCATCATCAAATTCCATTCTATATATGTGTATGTATATGTATGTATAGGTATAGTGAAAGCGTACGGACGGGTAAGGAGTAAGCTTCGAGGCTCTGAGAGTGTAAGGGCAGGCTGCGAACTGGAGGAGCTGGAAGCGCTCAGCGGCGTACTTGGCCTTGAAATACGAAGTGTCGGCGGTGTCGAAGGGCTGAGGGTGGCGCCACGGCGCACGATATGACCCCGTTTTCTGCAGCGAGAAGGCCACGAAGTCGGAGCTGGACAGGTGGTCCTTGAACTCTCCAGGGACTCGGAAAAGTTGGACTTCGTCACTTCCTTCACGGCCCATTTCTTCAAGACATTGGTGGGGGTGGTGGTGGTGGTGGTGGTGGGGGTGGTGGTGGTGGTGGTGGTGGTGGTGGTGCTGAGGAAACGGCGTCGTATAAACGGAGGCAGAGACGCCATGGTTTAACTTATCTCCAGCTTGACCTCAGCCGCTACCTGTATAATGCGTTTTTCAATTTTCAGTTGCCGAACAATAGGCTTACGACTTGTCGTTGCTTTCCTCTCCTTGTGATTTTTTTTATTTTATTTTTTATTTTACAAACGATATTATTTCCAATAAGGGGATAGAGAGTTGACTACACGGCTACGCTTCATAATGGGCTAGCAATAGTGTGGTTCAAAGTCGCATTTGGCGAGAATCGAACCAAAAATCTTTCACTTACATGTGGATAGGAATATCACTATACTGTAGTACTAATTACTAAGTGATCATTTCCTTCTAATTTTAGGTTTAGATTGTTTCATGTAGATCTGTCGATAGATCGAATTTTAACCTAGATTCAATTGAAATCAAACGTAATTAATATAGTATGGATTGTAGTTTTCAATCTAATTATTTGATTACAAATGAATTTGGATATGTATAGAGGTTGACCCCACTGGATCATTTATAACATATTATATTATTTGTATTAGGGTCTTGGATTGAGTAATTACTTTTCTTGTTTGTATTTGGGCTTTGGATTGAGAAAGTGAACCGAGACGGTCATGTGAATCAAGTCACAAGAAAGAACAATGAAATGGCATGTTGCTGAAAAAAGTAAAGACTATGGAGAAGATTCATTGTTGTCCATGGATAAAATTCAACCAAAAAGAGGAATGAAAAAAAAATTTGATGTCTATATTAGGAATTGTTGACCCTAAAAGTGCAAAGCCTACGTGGGGCGTAAGTCGAGTAACTATTGAACTAACTACTTCTTTCTTGTGAATGCGAGCGTGCCACCTCACGACCAAGCTCGGTCGGGCGAGTAGAATGGATGTGGTGGTGGTGCTGAATGCAGTACTGACTTATGCATTTGAGCAATTACGGTCGAGGATGGAACACCTCTATGCCTAAGGTTCTCGAAGAAGACAATGTTGCTTAATTCACTACGAAGTTCAGGATCTTCTGCATCGGGTTTTGCTGCTTCAACTACATTCGTAAAAATATTAGTGCACCAAATCAGTATCAAACTATGTGGGAAAAGATACTTAAAAAATGCCTTTATGGTGAAACGTGGTTCGGCTATCTGAATGCCGAAGTACAAAGTGACCTAAGAATAACTAACCATAGAACACTTCATTTCGATGAAAAGCTAATGAAGTTATGACGACCCGTCCCGAACTTTACCAAACAGAAGGGTAATTTTGTAATTTCACTATGGTTGGGTTAAATATTTTGAAATGCTGCTTTTGGATCTTGTTTGGTGTGCCATGTGGGGCCCACTTTCCTTTTTGGTCCCCTGGCCCATTCTCCTTTCTCCTTCCTTCATCCCGTGTGAACTCTCGGACCTCTTTCTTCTCTCTTCACTTTCTCTCGTTTTCTCCTAACCTTTCCGAGCCCTCTCTCTCCTCTACAACCTCTTCTCATTTTCTTCCTCGAGCACAGCAACTGCAAACCTCACCATCTAGACTGGATGACCTCGAAACCTCAGGCTAAACATCGTGGAACACCAACAATGACGGAGTCACTGTTCATCAACTTTTCCTGACGAGCTTCGACGTAGTTTGTGGTTCTTTCGATGTTGGAAAGCTCCTAGAAACCCTTGGGATGTGTTTTAAAGTTGGATCGAGGCTTGTTGTATGTTGTTTAAGCTTGTTGGACATTGAAATAACTCGGAGTTAGCTTTTCCTAGATTTCGACAAGAACCCATGACTTTCGAGGCGTTTTCCGGCCAAACCATGACGAGTTAGCCGTTGGGCAAGGTACCATTCTCTTCGGCTCGTCAAGAACTATGATTTTTGTTTTTTAAATCACTCAATTTCATTAAGTATTGAAGAAGTTATGAACGTTTAAAGTTTACCCAGTTTCCGGCAAATTCCCTAGTTTTCCCTCGGACCAGTCACTTTTCAGGCCATTTTCCAGCCATCTCTGGCAACCATTGGGCTTCTAAATAGGTATAATCTTGTTCTACACTTTCCTATCTTCATTTTTATATATTATGGGTCAAATTTGGTTAAGAAATGATGAAGTTACGAAGCTTTGAAATTTGCCCAAACTTCCGGCCAAAATTCCAATTTCCAGTGAGCTCCGGCAGCTTGACTTGGCTCGGCTCGGCTTGGCTGAGTCAGCCATTGACTTCTCGGTCAGTGTTGACAATTGACCTTGATCGTTAATCGTTGACCCGTCAACGTTGACTTTTTGGTTGACTTTTTTTTTATTTCGGCCGGGATCCCTCCTAGACTAATTTTGATGTTCTGAATCCGTTTCTGACGCCTGTTTTCCCAAATTCAATCATTTTAGTGTAGTTTTATAAATTGGTCCCTTTATGTGCTTAGGTGAAATTGTTTGTGGTGTTTCCATCTTCTCCGGTTCGCAAGGTTCTTGGATGACAAAGTATCTGTGAGTGAACCCCTTCCAAAATGCATGATTTTACTATTACAAAATGCATACACGAAAAACATGATTTTATGGATACGTTTTATGAAATGTTTATGAGAAAATTGGATTCATGCTTTATGAAATATCATGCTTTATCAGATTTACATTCTTTGAATGATTTATGATTATAAATTATGAACATATTTTATGATATGATGTTTGAGCTACTGAGCTCCAATGAGATATACTTTGGAAAGATTATGTTCATTTTTTTATATGCTTATCTAGTGTTTTCATACGGTCTGCCTACGGGCGAATGATACTGCCTACGGGCAAATGATACTGCCTACGAGCGAATGATATCTATATATGGCTTCGGTCGGGTGATGTAGAGGCCTACAGGCGAATGATATCTATATATGACTTCGATTGGGTGATGTAGGGGCCTATGGGTGAATAAAGAGTTATATATGTCTTCGGGCGAATGAAGATTTATATATGGCTTCGGTCTAATGATGTAAGGGCCTACGGGCAAATAAAGGCCTTCAGGTGATTTTGATACCACTACTATGCACACTGTATATGATATATGTTTTATGAAGTTTTTATGGCATGCTAGGGCTTTCGAAAAACCTATCACATATTATGCTATTGAGTTTTCATATACTTTGGGGGTTAGTACGTTAATGAATAACTGTTTTATTATTACTTATATATAAACTTGGTCCACTCATGTTTTGTTTCGCGCCCCTTCAGGACTTATAATTGAGGCGTACAATCATGGCATCAAGGCACTCCCACATCGGCATTTTCTAGTCCTCTCGATGTAGGACTCATCCCTTTGTTCGTTCAATTTTATATTATTCCTTTTAATGTTCTTGATTAGTTGTATGCTCTAAACACGTTCCACAATTGCATATTCATTATAGTTTAATTTACGAGTTTAATTTATGTTCGTTCTTTCTTCATAGTTCTCATGCATGTTAGTATGGCTTCGTCACCTTCTGGTGTCGGCCAGCACGTGCCTACCCTGGTGTTTGAAGTATATCAGGGTTGGGCTTGTCAATTTGGTATCAGAGCGTGGTTTGTTCAGAGCATACTTAGGATCTTCTGTTACTGTAGTAGTGTGTCGGTCTTGACATCATTTGGATGTCACGACTTCTGGTTTTGGTGCCATTCAGCGCAGTTGTGCAAACCTTTTTCGTGTTGGGATTGTGCCTCATCGGTGACGAAATGGATTGTTGGACGATTTTCAACATCGAACCGATATTCTACAACATGCGTTCCCTAGGAATTGCGGCAAAGTCAGTTTTACATTGAAGTGACGTGAATTAGAAATCTCAATAAGAGGAAGTCCGGTTAAGACTAGCTGAAAATCTGAAATGGCGATGCCACTCTGCAACATGTGTTCCTCAAGAATTGCGGGCAGAGTCGGATTTACATATGAGTGTTGGGAAACGGAAAAATCTTAGTGGTATAAGTTGGATGAGACCAACTGGAGTGTTCTGAAACGGTGATGTTACTCTACGACATGCGTTCCCTAGGAATGGTGGGCAAAGTCATATCTTTATGGAAATTGCTCGAAACATCGAAGTTCGTGTTGGAGAAAGCGGGTAAGCGCTAGTCGTGTGCAAAGTTTAGCAAGTGTTAGTTTGGTGGGATCAAATCTTTGTTCTTGGACTCTTTCCCACTAAGGAAATTAGTGTGGACCCTCAAAACAATTCTCAGCTATTGTTCTATCGATAATCTTCTTGCTTACTCTAACAACGAGGTCAAGTTCAATAAACACCGATAGTTAGCCTTACACCATATTCTTCGAGCGTTGTTTTTGTTTAGATTAGATACTTTTCTTGAGAGACTCTTTTATAGCAGACATTATTCTTATCAATTTCCAAAAAGGGTTGCGACTGTTGGAAATTGAAAATCCTCACAAAGTGTGTGAAATGCGAATTACCCTTGATCTTATCACATTCTATCAGCAGTTCTTAACGATTCCTTGAGCTTGGCCCTATTTCCTTTTTTGCTAAGAAACCAGTCAATTTTGTTGTGATGCTGACGATGAATGAAGTTTCTGACAACAGGGTATTGTCTCATCTGATCGTAGTTCTTACACTTTTTGAATTCTGCGATGGTATATTATTAATGTTTGGCTGCATGCTGATGCAACATGATTAAGTTACGTTTGTGCCTCTTGACAGTTGGAACCGTATGAAGTGAACCATCTTATCTTTGACCTTGAGCCAATGGTTACAATCTAACTTGAAAACCTAATGAAACCTTTTCTTTGTGGAAATCCTTGTGGGACGAAGGTTGGGAAAGAAACTTTTTGGTGTTTTGAACATCATCTTACTCATGCTCCCGTCCCTACTTTTCTTGACGTTGTTGGTGAGTTTTAAGTCTCTTATTTTGCATCGTTTCTGACCAAATGAGTTATAGTGTGTTCTGACATAGAAATAATTGAGGTTGAGACAGAAGAAGTGGATGGAACTCATCGGTGATTTTGATTGCACTTTTGAGTACCATCATGGTCAAGCAATTGTCGTAGCTGAAGCTCTTAATCAGAAACCCCATAGACAGCTTACCTTAATCTAAGTTATCCATGTCTCACTATCGTTTTCTCTTCGTGGAATTGGAACTCTGTTGATACGAAACAAGTTGCTTTTTCCTAATGGCGATGAAGTTGGAAAAAGGAAAATTTTTGGTGAAGCTCATGTTTCAGCGTATGCCATGTATACTGGCAGTATTAAATTGTACCACTGTTTTCGTCCACTATATCACTGGTATTGTATGAATGGGATATCGCCGAATATGTGAGTAAATGTTTGTTTTACTGGTAAGTGGAAGCGGTAAGATGGAAGCCATCGGCTTATCTCAATTTCTTTCTATTCCTGTTTGGAGGTGGGAAGAAATTTCCCAGGGTCGTTCTTTTTAGGTTGTCAGGGACCCATTGAGGATACTAATAGGAATAGGTGAATGTCACCATAATTTTCCTATACAAACCACCTTGTACACATGGAGACTATGATGACGTTTCGGTATTGTTACCAACTCAATCAACATACTATCTACCAATTTTTTAGGACTATACTTTTGACCACTTGGCATAATTCTTCATTCTAGACTTTGTCTGACTGACGTCGCGATAAACATCGATTTTGACCGAAATCCCAGATTCACCTCCTGGTATTAGAAAACATTCTAGTCAACGTTGGGTTCACACTTACCCTACGACACTTTGTATATTTTCCTTCGTATCATTTCTAAAGCAATGAGACTATTCAGGAAGACCACTCAGATCTGAAAGTTTTAGTCGAAACCATCAGTCATTCAATCACCCTTTAACATACTACCGAGCGAATCATTACCATTAGTGATTGAATATCTCTAAGGTTATCGTTGTAACAAGTTGTTGTGAATTTTGGAGTGGGAAAAAGTCCGAGTAGAACACCAACAATGACAGAGTCACTATTCATCAACATATCTTGACGAGCTCCGACGTAGTTCATGGTTCTTTCGACGTTGGTAAGCTCCTATAAACCCTTGAGATGTGTTTTAAAGTTAGATCGAGGCTTGTTGTATGTTGTTTAAGCTTGTTGGACGTTGAAATAACTCGGAGTAAGCTTTTCCCAGATTCCGACAAGAACTCGTGACTTTCGAGGCGTTTTCAGGCCAAAACCACAATAAGTTAGCCATCGTGCAAGGTACCATTCTCTTTGTCTCATCGAGAACTATGATTTTTGTTTTTGGAATCACTCAATCTCATTGAGTATTGAAAAAGTTATGAACATTTAAAGTTTACCCAGTTTCCGGCGAGTTCCCCAGTTTTCCCACAGACCAATCACCTTTTCAGGCCATTTTCTGGCCATCTTTAGCAACCATTGGGCTTCCAAATAGTTATAATCTTGTTCTACACTTTCCTATCTTCATTTTTATATATTATAGGTCGAATTTGGTTAAGAAACGATGAAGTTACGAAGCTTTGAAATTTACCCAAACTTCCAGCCAAAATTTCAGTTTCCGGTGAGCTTCGACGGCTTAACTTGACTTGGCTCGACTTTGCTAAGTCAGCCGTTGACTTCTCTATCAGCGTTGACCATTGACCAGTCAACGTTGACTTTTGGGTTAACTTTTTCAGATTTCGATCGGGACCTCTCCTAAACTAATTTAGACGTCCTAAATCCGTTTCATACGTCCGTTTTCCCAAATTCAATCGTTTTAGTATAGTTTTATAAATTGGTCTCTTTATGTGCTTAGGTGCAATTGTTTGTGGCGTTTCCGTCTTCTCTAGTTCGCACAGCTCTTCGACGGCGAAGTATCTGTGAATAGACCCCTTCCAAAATGCATGATTTTTCTATTACAAAATTCATACATGAAAAGCATGATTTTATGGATACGTTTTATGAAACATTTATGAGAAAATTGGATTCATGCTTTATCAGATTTACATTCTTTGAATGATTTATGATTATATATTATGAACATGTTTTATGATATGATGTTTGAGCTACTGAGCTCTTATAAGATATACTTTGGAAAGCTTATGTTCATGTTTTTATATGCTTATCTATTGGTTATTCATACGATCTGCCTACTGGCGAATGGTACTACTTATGGGCAAATGATACTGCCTACGAGCGAATGATATCTATATATGGCTTCGATTGGGTGATGTAGGGGCCTACGGGTGAATGAAGAGTTCTATATGTCTTCGAGCGAATGAAGATTTATATATGACTTCGGTCGGGTGATGTAGGGGCCTACCGGCGAATGAAGGCCTTCGGGCGATTTTGATAGCACTACTAAGCACACTATATATGATATATGTTTTATGAAGTTTTTATGGCATGCTAGAGTTTTCAGAAAACCTATTACATATTATGTTATTGAGTTTTCATATACTTTAGGGATTAGTACGTTAATGAATAACTGTTTTAGTATTACTTATATATAAACTTGGTCCACTCATGTTTTGTTTTGCACCCCCTCAGGACTTAGAATCAAGGTGTACAATCTCGGCATCAAGGCACTCCCGCATCGGCATCTTCGAGTCCTCTCGATGTAGGACTCATCCCTTTGTTCGTTCAATTTTATATTATTCCTTTTAGTGTTCTTGATTAGTTGTATGCTCTAAACACATTCCACAATTGCATATTCATTATAGTTAAATTTACGAGTTTAATTTATGTTTGTTCTTTCTTCATAGTTCTCATGCATGTTAGTATGGCTTCGTCACCTTCGGGTGTCGGTCAACACGTGCCTACCCTGGTGGTTGGAGGATATCAAGGTCAGGCATGTCAGAATTGACCTCTTTGGGCTAAAGAATTGAGAATTCTTCGTTGAAAGAGACTTGTATAGATAATCAACCAACCAGAAGCAGTCCTATTTACTTGTCCAAACTAAAGATGTTACTAAATCGCTTGATTCTACGACTCTAGTGTTGTATACTTATCTAACATGAAGATGTCACCTTTATTTTAAGCCCAAATAGAAATAAAATTACATGTTGACCTCAAACAATTGCCTTGTGCCGCACGTGACCGAGATGAATGAAATTTGAATGAAAAATTTTAAAAATTAAATGCCAGTATAGAAATTGACCAATTATAAAAGTTAGGTAATTAGCTAAAATTAAATTCAAAAGGGAAATTGATCCAATTATGAAAATTCAAAATAATTGGCTAAAAATAAAGTTCATGGGAAAACTGACAGCTTCTTACAATTTTGTGGGGGCACAAATACCTCTTGGTTTTTCAATCTTCAAATGCCAAATTACGCTTACTAACTTGTCGTTGTTTTTCCTACTTAAGCCCAAACACAACAAACATTTGGGGCCAAGAAAACGAGCGGTGGCCCAGTATTATCAGGTAATATATGAACCAGTCACGTGACACGTGGTCGTTGCAGATCGCGAGCCATCGTCCCCCAATTGCAATTGATTAGGGCATTTTGGAGTGGAAGCTTTATATATGTGATACTATCAAATCCACAGCGAGCCGAGCGACTGCGTCTCCAGCTATAAATCCGGCAGACCTTCTATCGTCGCTCAAAACACTCATCGACCTCCTCCGTCACCTCATCCGTCAAAACGTCCGTTAAACCCTCGTCGGCTTCATCTGCTCTCATCGAGGTTTGAGATTTTTCTCCACAGCCGCCGTTTATTTTATTTGTTTGCCGAATCGTTTTTTTTTTTTAGCTCGTTTAAAGCAGCAATCTTTTGCTGCAATCGAACATGAAATGGAAATGTTTCTGGTTTTTATTTATTACTGGAATATCTCAGATGGAAAGAGAACCGTCCAAGTCCCGTTCGAAGGTGTCAATGGAGTTGGACAGAATTAGCAACTTACCAAGTGACGTTATAAACAGAATTTTGTCACATTTGCCGATTAGGGAAGCAGTTAGAACAAGTGTTTTATCAAGCAAGTGGAGGAACAAATCGGCTATGCTTTCTCATCTTTTGTTTGATGATCGGTGCACCTCGGATCAAAACCCTACAACCTTTACAGGCATTGTTGATCATGTACTCTTGGGTCACATTAGCCCCATATACAGGTTCAGGATCATTCATTCCCGACCTCAAGTCTGTAGAGATATTGATCGATGGATTCTTCATCTGTCAAGAAACTCTATCAAAGAGTTGTTGCTTAATATCAAATGTAGTGGGCATCGCCACAAGATGCCTTCATGTTTGTTTTCTTGTCAAGATCTCATTTATTTAGTGTTGTATGATTGTTTGCTACAACCTCCATCCAAGTTCCAAGGATTCAGGAGTTTGAAGACTTGTCGTCTTTTTAATGTTACCCTGGACCAAGATGTGCTTGAGAATCTGATTGTCTGCTGTCCTCTCCTTGAGAGATTAACATTGTGGCACTGTGATGCATTAACCCGGTTCAAGATTGATGCACCGAATCTCAAATTCCTTCATTTTAAAGGCGTGCTTGAGGATGTTAGTCTTGTGAATACCTTAAAACTGGCCGAAGTTCACATTAGTTTGACTGCTGATGTTGCAAATGACCAAAGACGGACTGCTGGAAGTTGTAGCAATTTGCTCAATTTTTTTGTTCATCTGCCTCATATTCGATGTCTTCGTGTCAAATCTAACTTTTTGAAGGTAATGGTTTTTGTGGCTTCATTCTTTCAGTCAATAATCAGATTTTGTGGCAATCAGAAGTTGACTGTATTTTCAATCTTCTGTTTTCTGAACCTTTCTGTTCCAGTATTTGGCTGTCGGAGTCTTGCCAGGAAAGCTACCTCAACCGTGTCTATATCTGAATTTTTTTTCTATACATTTAAGCTTCAACGATCCGAAGGAGATTTTAACTGTTTTATGTCTTCTGAGAAGCTTCCCTGCTCTACAGGAACTTGAAATTTCAGTGAGTTTGTTGTATTATGTTGATGCATGCATATCCTGGTGTTCAATTAAGAATGTCAACCCAACTCTCTACACTAATTGTATTTTACTGTTTAGAGAGCTATTTTATGTGATGTTCAAGCATCTGATGATATAGACTTATGCAGGCCTTGAATGAGTATGAGGGTGCTGAGGGAGAAGTGAACTACGGGTTAGACAACAACCAGAATTGCCAATTGACCAAACTGCGAATTGTCAAAATAACCGGCATCTATGGTGACAAAGCTGAACTAGATTTCATCAGGTTTTTGCTTTCAAGTTCACCTGTGCTCGAGAAGATGACTGTGAAGCCTGCTACTGCTAGAGATTTTCAACTAGTAAAAATGTTGCTCCAGTTTAAGCGTGTCTCGGAGAATGCAGAGATATTCTACTTAGACCCTTGATTCCTCAATGAAACATGTTTGGCAGATAAGATACGAGGACTTACCGGCAGAAACTGAATGCGGATTTTGATAGTTTGATACAATTATCTGTTATGTATTTTTCTTTGAACAATGCCTCAGTGTCTTGCTAGGTGCATTGTTCAGTGTCTTACTAGGTGCCTTTTTTTGGAGTGTTATGTCTTGTCAAACGATGCCAGTAGATATGTCTTCTTTTCTTTTACTAATCTCATGTTCAACTTGGACTCTGATGTTAAATTTTGACCCTAAGATGTCTGATGATATGTCTCGAATACAAGAGGAGTAATTTGAAAGTGTTTTTAGAATGACTTAAAAGCGCTTACAAGCCATAGGTCATTTTGTAGAAAAGGTTGAAAGTTATAAATGGAGAAGGGCCGCATGCGGTGGTCATATTCAAGAACCTCTTCAGGAGTTATTAAATGAACATTTAGAATGCGCGACGCAGCCAAACTAGAAGAAAGTACATCGGCAGCAATTATTTGTATTCGATTCAGCAGTATAACCAAAAGAAAAGGTTTTGTTCAGATTACCTCCGGAATAGAGGGCAATGCCTGATTGCTCTCCGTTTTGGGATAGCACGACAACAATTCTCGGTTGTACAACGAGTTTAGAACAAAACTGATCTCATTTCTAACATATGGAGTTTTACGTATTACAAGTCATCAAAATTTATCGCTGAGTCGCTAGACCAATAAATTTCTTTAGAACTTGTAGCTGAATTAGCTTCCATAACATAGTCCGAGTCTTTGTCTAGGGACTCCGCTAAATCTGCCTCCCATAAGCCTAACCTGCAGACTCTCTTGTAAGTTTCGTAACTCGATGCTCTTATGCCCTCCGAAACAACAACAACAACAACAACAAAGCCTTTTCCCACTAAGTGGGGTCGGCTATATGAATCCTAGAACGCCATTGCGCTCGGTTTTGTGTCATGTCCTCCGTTAGATCCAAGTACTCTAAGTCTTTTCTTAGAGTCTCTTCCAAAGTTTTCCTAGGTCTTCCTCTACCCCTTCGGCCCTGAACCTCTGTCCTGTAGTCACATCTTCGAACCGGAGCATCAGTAGGCCTTCTTTGCACATGTCCAAATCACCGGAACCGATTTTCTCTCATCTTTCATTCAATTTCGGCTACTCCTACTTTACCTCGGATATCCTCATTCCCAATCTTATCCTTTCTCGTGTGCCCACACATCCCACGAAGCATCCTCATCTCCGCCACACCCATTTTGTGTACGTGTTGATGCTTCAACGCTCAACATTATGTGCCATACAACATCGCTGGCCTTATTGCCGTCCTATAAAATTTTCCCTTGAGCTTCAGTGGCCTACGACGGTCACACAACACGCCGGATGCACTCTTACACTTCATCCATCCAGCTTGTATTCTATGGTTGAGATCTCCATCTAATTCTCCATTCTCTTGCACGATAGATCCTAGGTAGCGAAAATGGTCGCTTTTTGTGATCTTCGCTAGATTGCTCCGGTCATTAGTGTGGATAAGTATATAAATGGATAGAGACAGGAAAGCAAACATAAGATGTACGTGGTTCACCCAGATTGGCTACGTCCACGGAATAGAGGAGTTCTCATTAATTGTGAAATGTTTACACAAGTACATAGGTTCAAGCTCTCCTTTAGTGAGTACAAGTGAATGATTTAGTACAAATGACATTAGGAAATATTGTGGGAGAATGATCTCGTAATCACGAAACTTCTAAGTATCGGAGTGCGGTATCGTCTTGACTTGCCTTATCTGTCTCATAGGTAGATGTGGCATCTTCTCTGGAAGTACTCTTCCTCCATTCAGGGGTGGTATCTTTAACTGGTGGAGATGCACAAGGTAATGTATCAATTTCACTTGAAGCTTACTTGTAGTTTCAGGCTTGGTCAAGCGCGATACAAACCATGTAGTAGGAGTCCCCCAAGTCGCCGAGCTAGAGGATCTGCTGAAAGAGGTGACAGACAAGGTAAGCAATCAGAGCTCCGGCTGATTGTTCACATTCTCCCTATCTTGCAGGCAGCATGAAGGATAAAGAGAAGAAAATGAGAAGAGATGATATGGGATACTTTTGCTTTTGAAGAAGTAACTTTCCACAGGCTTATTCTTGAACTGAGCTGGAGGGTTTTCTGGTTTCCTCCAGAGTATAAGGCCGACTGAAGAATTTGAGGGTCAAAACAAGTCCATCAAATCTAGAGTACGTTCGACCCTGCTGATATGAGATACTTTTGCTTTGACAGAGTAATGGATGTATCGGCACGTGTGCTGTTTCGCTTGTCTCCACATGCTTCCTTGTATCCTTCTCCCTTGCCCTATCTGTTCCTCAGGCAGATGCGGTATCTTTCCTGGAAGCATAAGATGTTGAAGATGAGTACTCGAGAGCAATGGCAGGTAAGTAATCAGGTAAGGGGTTCCAGGCAGTCAGTTCCTGGCTGGAAGCTTGATTCCAAGTGCTGACTGATTGCTCTCTTTCTCCTTGTCTTGCAGATAAGAACAAGGCCAAAGGAAAAGACAGGGAAAAAGCATGATATGGGATACTCTTGCTTTTAACCCTGATGATATGAGATATTCTTGCTCTAGTATAGCTTGTTTGCAGAGATATTATCGGGGGGAAAGAAAGCTGAATATTTCGAAAGGCTTCATTGAGAGTGCCCTCTCAGATATGAGGAAGGGTTGAGCATTTTTGCAGGTCTGCCTGTCCGTTGGGAATAGAGGTCGACATATATAGGAGTCTCCTTAACAACAAGTAGTAATGCTATTCCTTTACCCTACTTGGTCATAGCACGGTAGTGGGAGCTGCTAGCTTCACATGTTTTAACTCTGTCAGAGCACTTTGAAAAAGTGGTCTGTGGTATCTGGAAAGGTGATGTTGCGTGTGAAGATTACAGACAGCTTTATCCAAGGAGATCCGGCTCTTGAAGTTGGGAAAGTGTTACCTCTTCGGTTTTCGAACAAGCAATCCTATCGGGGATCTGGCTCTCGAGATTCGGAGAACGATGCCTCTTCGATTTTTGAGAAAGCAATCATGTTGGGGGTCTGGCTCTCGAGATTCGGAGAGCGGTGTCTCTTCGATTTTTGAGAAAGTAATCATGTTGGGAGTCTGGCTCTCGAGATTCGAAGGGCGGTGCCTCTTCGATTTTGGAGCAAGCAAACTTGTGGGGAGTGTTTTCTCGAATGTGAGTAAAGGTTGGGCATGTTTGCTAGTCTACCTTGCCACGAAGCACAGAGGTTGACACATAGGGACTTTCCAATTATCCAGCAATGGTACTGTTCTTTTACCCTCTCTTCGATTTTTGAGAAAGTAGTCATGTTGGGAGTCTGGCTCTCGAGATTCGGAGGACGGTGCCTCTTCGATTTTGGAGCAAGCAATCTTGTTGGGAGTGTTTTCTCGAATGTGAGTAAAGGTTGGGCATGTTTGCTAGTCTACCTTGCCACGAAGCACAGAGGTTGACACACAGGGACTTTCCAATTATCCAGCAGTGGTACTGTTCCTTTACCCTTGTGGGTAATAATATGGTAGCTAGACCTTCAAAATTTATGTGTCTAAACTTTGTTAGTGTTGTTTCTTTGCTATTCTTTTACCCTTCTTGGTCAGAGCGATGTAGTGGGAGTTGCAAGCTTCACGTGCTCAACTTTGGCAGAGAACTTTGGCAAAGTTATCTGTGGTACCCATGAGCTACTGTTGCGTGTGGGAAGTGGGTGATTGAACAGTAAGACTCATGTGCTTTCTACTTCACCAGAAGTCTTTGACAGAATGCCCATAATTTCCGCAAAGCTGAGTGTGCGTGTGACAGGTGCTGACAAGGCTGGAAAAGTAGGTGCCTCTTCGATTTCTGAGATCGGCCCTCGTGGTCTCTGAGCAGCCCAGCTTTTGAGAAAGCAAGCGCCTCTTCGATTTCTGAGATCGGCCTTCGTGGTCTTTGAGCAACCCAGCTTTTGAGAAAGCAAAGGCCTTTTCAATTTCTGAGATCGACCCTCGTGGTCTCTGAGCAGCCCAGCTTTTGAGAAAGCAAACGCCTCTTCGATTTCAGAGCAGGCGCCTCTTCGATTTCTGAAGCTCTGTCGAGTGCAGATTTTTATAAGGGCTGGCATTAAGTTCCAAAGCACACTTGAATCTCCACCAGTAGAAGCTCCATTCTTGCACTTCTTAGATCTTGATTTGTTCGACCTCTTCTCTCTTCAACACCTTTGAAAATGTTGGGCCCCTCCGACCGTCGTTTTGACTTGAACCTTGTTGAAGAGGCAGCTCCGCTTTCTCCAGACAACATATGGCGCCCATCCTTCGTCTCCCCTACTGGTTCTCTTACTGTTGGGGATTCCATGATGAAGAATGATATGACCGCTGCGGTGGTGGCCAGGAACCTTCTCACTCCCAAAGATAACAGACTACTTTCCAAAAGGTCTGATGAGTTAGCTGTTAAGGATTCTCTGGCTCTCAGTGTTCAGTGTGCAGGTTCTGTGTCTAATATGGCCCAAAGCCTATTTGCTCGAACCCGCCAAGTTGAATCATTGGCGGCTGAAGTGATGAATCTCAAACATGAGATTAGAGGGCTCAAGTATGAGAATAAACAGTTGCACCGGCTCGCACATGACTATGCTACAAACATGAAGAGGAAGCTTGACCAGATGAAGGAATCTGATGGTCAGGTTTTACTTGATCATCAGAGATTTGTGGGTTTATTCCAAAGGCATTTATTGCCTTCGTCTTCTGGGGCTGTACCGCGTAATGAAGCTCCAAATGATCAACCTCTGATGCCTCCTCCTTCTAGGGTTCTGTCCAGTACTGAGGCTCCAAATGATCCTCCTCCGGTGCCTTCTCTTTCTGGGGCTCTACCGACTGCTGAGACTTCTCCTAAGCAACCTTTGTGAAGGCTCCATCTTGTTTGTTTATTTTGACTTATGTATATGTACATATTTGTAGTTTATCGGGGATATCAATAAATAAGCTTTCCTTCATTTCAACGTATTATGTTAATTACACCAAAGCCTTCTTCGCTAAGTTCTTTGAATTTTCTTTTGTTGAAGCTTTGTGAGTGGAGCATGTAGGTTGAGGTAGTGTTCCCTTAATTTCCTGAGTGAGGAAAACTTCTCGGTTGGAGACTTGGAAAATCCAAGTCACTGAGTGGGATCGGCTATATGAATCTTAAAACGCCATTGTGCTCGGTCCTATGTCATGTCCTTCGTTAGATCCAAGTACTCTAAGTCTTTTCTTAGAGTCTCTTCCAAAGTTTTCCTAGGTCTTCCTCTACCCCTTTGGCCCTGAACCTCTATCCCATAGTCGCATCTTCTAATCGGAGCGTCA